AGTGAGAGGAGACAAGAGGAAATTAGAAGAGAGGTGAGGAGAAATTGAGAAGATTGGAGACAATAGAATGAAACAAGGGGAGAAGAGATGCAAATAAAAAGAGAAAGAAGTGGGAAAAAAGAAAGATAGTGAGAATGAGAGTGAGAGGAGAAGAGAAGGAGGGAAGAGAGGAGACTAGATAATGAGATGAGGGGAGAGGAGAAATGAAAACAGAGGAGACAATAAAAAGAATAGAGAAGAAGATAATGAGAATGATTTGAAATAAAATGAGACAAAAAGAAGGGGATATGAGACAGTAAGAGGAGACAGCTGAGAAAAGAAGCGAGGAGAAATGAGAGACGAAAAGGAAAGGTTGAGACAAGTGGAGAAGAGATGAGAATAAAAGGAGGAAGTGGAGAAAATAGGAGAGGAGAAAATAAGGAAGAGCAGAATACTCCATCTGTGCATTCAGTCTTTCTGTAATTGCATTAGAATTTCAATGATGCTTTTGAAAAGCACCGAGCGTGAGCAGCCCTTCAGATGAATCAGACGGCGCTGAACATTTAAAGTGAGCCCAACATAAAGTAGCATTGATTAAACTCAATTAGGCTTTTGGTGGGCACTCAGACTACACTCTGTATGTGTGCGCCACTGTTTTTAAAAAGGCACACAATGGATCAGTTCATCTGTAATGAAGAATATTGGCGCTGGCACGCCGAGATGAACCTCTGACACAGATAAAAGGAAGTGATAGTATTTAAGAGTCGTTAGCTTACATGAGTCTGTCTCATCTTAAACAATACCAACGATTAGAGCAAGAAAAACTAAATTAATTCCATTTCGGATGACCAGAGCTGAGCAGAACCAGCCTAGGAGACTGATGGGATGCCACCGGTTGTTTGAATTCACAGCTCACTGGGTTTGTTCGGATCCCCAGTGGAGTGTAATTGGTATAATTCGTTGGATTAATCAAAATGCGGAGGCCCGGAATTGGGAGGTGCTCCAGCGTGCCGCTCAGCAGAGCGTCTGGGATGCGGCCAGGAGGAATTAACTCCACCGCAAAGCTCCGTCTCTCTTACATAGTCTATTTTTTTTCCCCGTTTAAACTGATCTGCCTCTCATACAGCGAGATTAGTCAGCACATCACACATATGCACACATTATGGCCTCCGAATTACACACAGGATGTGTTTCATGTGTAAACAATACGAGGGCCAAACAATACAATGTTTTCTCATAATCATCAGGAGTGATGAAATCTCTATGACGTACGTGAGGCTCAGCGAGATATTCATGTTCAGTCTGAGAGTTTCCTGCAGTCTCTTATGAAGCACATTACTGACAGTGAGAGATCAGCGGTGTGAGAGATGGAAATGTGAGATCACTCGAGTGTCTTCATTGCTGGTGTGTGTGTGGGCTTTAAATGTCAGCTCTGTCAGGGATCACATTCTTTTTTTCACTGGAAGAGAAGACAGGAATAAATAAATAAATCTCTCACTGGTCCATTCCACACCGCCATTGGAGATTCAACGGGCCCATGTTTCTCAATCGAGAGTTAAAAATACAGTAAAAACGAATAAACACTACTTTGCTCGAGTTCGGCTAACTTGAACAAAGACGAGACAAAAACAATAAAACCCATTATAAACGAGGAATTTGTTGCATCCAGTATGGACAGAATTACGGATTATAATGACTTATATTGTCTTTTTATGCGTTGCATTGCGTATCGCGCCACGTAAACATAAAACCATTTGTGATCGGAGAAACGACAAACAACAAGCGCTACTCTACACTACTCAAAACTCGCATTTGAATCATCAGTGGCAAATTCTTTAAATATGAAAACATAATTACAGGTTGTGAGTCAGAACAGCCGGCATTGTAGGTTCAGGAAACAGTCCTCCATTAAATGCGTTGCACACACACAAATATTTGGTTTGAACTGTTCTGGAACAGTGTTGTAAATACAACATAACCACTGATTTCTAGTCGTGCCCTCTTTTGGAAGACCAAACAAAGTAGTTTCGCTTTCACAACTAAACACACAGCATCTCTACGACATGGCAGCAGCGGCAGCAACAATACTACAGCGAGAGTCAAAGTTACTCCTTTCTTTGCGTGAACATTTGGCCGGTGTTATGCAAATCTTCCCACACAGTGACGTAGACATGTGGGGGCATGTTTAAACCAGGCGTTTTAGGAGGGCGTGGACGAGTCTTAACTTTTATAAAGAATATTGTTTGAGACTTTAGTCTTTGCAACTTTAGGGATCTTATCTATTCACGAACAGCTTGCAACACTCCAAAGAGAAAGGAAAACGTGAAATCACATCACATGACCCCTTTCATAATAATGACATACACCACCGTTCAAAATATTTGTTTTTTTTACATCTTATGCTCACCAAAGCTACATTTATTTGATGAAATACAGCAATAGTTACAGTCAAATAACTTCTATTTTAATATATTTAAAATATATATTTATTTCTATGATGACAAGGATACATTTTAAGCTTTTTTATTTTTCAAAAATTTTTCTAATATGCTGTTTTGGCATTCAAAAAACATTTATTAATATCATCAATGTTAAAACATTTGCAATGCTTAATATTTGTGTGGTACCCATTTTTCAGGATTACTTGATAGAAGAATAGAAATGTAAAAAAAAACTGAATTTATTTTAAATGTATTTACTGTCATTAATGAACAATTTAATGCACCTTTGTTGAACAAAAATATTAATTTGTTTAAAATCTTACTGATTTGAAAGTTTTATTAGACTGTTTATTAGACTTTTGTGTCCAGCCTGTTTGTAATCAAAAACCTGTAAGTCAGTATTGACACTGCAAAAATTGTGTTATTTTAAGATGTGTGTGTTATTTTGATCTCTGGTCGATGAAGAAATCTGCAGATTAATAAATCTCCACACTTTTTATTTATGCTTCTGGGCCGCTGAGATAAAAAAAAAAAACAACAAAAAAAAACGAAACTGACAAATAAAGTGTTGGATTCTTCAGAGAAAAATAAAGAAAACAAACCTGCGAGGATCCTGTCCTGAGATCCTCTCACACACACACACACACACACAAACACACACACTCTGAGCTAAATTACAGCCAGGTGAAAACGCTGATCAAGTCCAGAGCTGCACACTGCCTCTCAGGTTCAACAATTAGCACTCAAGAGGGACATTTCTGCTAATTAATTCTGAATGTGTAATTAGTGAGAGAAACAGGGAATTTGGAAGAGGTGAGAGAGGTATGTTGAGTGTGTGTTTATGTGTAACACAGCCGGCATTAACTAATTAATCTCATTTTATTATTTTCTGTTTTTATTTGGAACTTGATAAATGCAAAGCAGCACATACATTTAATAAGAAATGTAATTTAAAAAAAGCTTGCCATTGGTCCAAAGAGAGCTTCGCATTGTGAATTAGATGAGGTAAATACTCAAATACTCAAACTAACAGTAAAAACTATACTTAATATGAGACTACAGAGGCAATAACAGCGAATGGATTGCAGTAACGTCACACCATTAACTTTAGCCCTGTGAAATCATCCTGATACTCGTAAAAAAATCTCTGTCTCCACCTCGTTTCAGATGGGTTTGTGTGTAAAAGCCCTAATCATCTCCTCTCCTGTTAACGAGGCTCTTCATTAGCCCGACCTGCTGACTTTCTTAAATGCACACATATATAAACTAGGGTTGGGTATCGATTGGGTTTTTTACAATACCGGTGCCAAATCGATACTTTTAAAACGGTACCGGTGCCTAAACGGTGCCTGAACCGATACTTTAAAAAAAGAGCCACAAAAAAACCAACGATGGATAACATTAAAAAACATTACAAATAAATATACATATAGCATTCACATGCTCATCGGATGCTCGCATTTCCCGAGTTAATAAATGTATTTCACGATCTGGGTCATTATTTAATACAAAACCACACAATGTTTCTACTGTATCTCTGTCAATCACTCTGATATTTAGTTAAAGTTAGTGAATTGACTGAGTGCTGTCAGTCACTGTCTTTAATCAGTTCTGTGAATGACTGTATGGTATGCCACATGCACTGTAAAATTTTCAAATGAAAATAGCAACATGATCGTTTTATAAAGTATGTGTTCATATGTGTTAAAGGGGTCCTATTATGCTCTTTTACAAAGTCTTGATTTTGTTTTGGGGGGTACTAGAACAGGCTCTCATACTAGGTTGTTCGAAAAACACATTATTTTTCACACATTTTACATTATTACAACACATCTCTCCCCAGTCTATCAAATGAAGGCCCGCCTTCTGAAATTCGAAATGTGCTGTGATTGGTTAGCTGGGCCAGTGTGTGTGTTGTGATTGGTTAGCTGGGCCAGTGTGTGTTGTGATTGGTTAGCTGGGCCAGTGTGTGTTGTGATTGGCACCACTCGGCGCCTGGTCGGGAAATGTCATGCCCCTTACCATAGTCGCCTACGAGCATCAGTGTAAATACTGCGTCAAAATCAAATCAATAGGAACACGATTTAAACCTGGATGATTGTAACTACTCTACGTTCGTCTGCCTTGGGAAAGCTAGCGTGTCTCTGACATAGTGATGACACTCGTTGCCTTCTCTAGTGCAGCTCAACCAGGTCTCGTCCCATTTGTCGGTATTTGCGATATCATAAATCCCGGAAAATATGCGTTGTAGTCCAAACGAGTCTTTGAAGTTTTTGAAAAAGTGATTTCTGTTAAATAAAATATCTCCTTTTGAAGTGGACTTTGAGCTTTGTAAATTTGCAGATCTTTTTATGCCCAACCAGCAACATTAAAGACTAACTAAAGTTGAAAAAGTAAAAAAGCATAATAGGACCCCTTTAGGGCTAGATTTTCACTGGAGGAAACAGCTGTGGTGTGATGAGGGGTGAACGCAGGGAAAACTTTACAGTAGATGGGAAACCGATTGCTCCCTCGTGACCTTTTGTAAACTGTATTTATGACAAAGAACTGCACAGATACAGATATTCGATAAACACATACCTTGTGTCCTCTGTTTGTTTGAGTCCGCTCGCGCTGCAAGACCGCCGCGGTCTGCGGATTGAAGAGCACGCTGAAAGACGGGAAGGAGACGAGGTCTGCCGCCGTTTTCATATGAAATTTAAAGGGGACTGACTCTGAGGCGATCATGAATTTGTGTACAGTTTATGGTGCTAATTGCTATAGCCCTGCTAAAAATGGCCTAACGACGCCCATGCTTCTTACGTCCATTTTGGAGAACCAGGACAAATATTTCAATCGATCGCTCAGGCATTTAACTGGCACCGAAATGAGGCACCGAAATCTGCGTTCTGATTCGGTTCTAGTACATACCGGTTACCGGGTTTCGGTATCCAACCTTAATATAAACACACACCCCGTTACCATGCCACTCTTGGCTCTGGACATCTTTATCAGCTTCAGCAAGAAAGCTTTTGGCACAGAAAGCCCTGCAATTGACGTCTTATCAGACCAATCCCTCCGTGTAAAAATAGAAACTGTGTGTAAGTGGACTTTGAGCTTTGTAAATTTGCAGATCTTTTTATGCCCAACCAGCAACATTAAAGACTAACTAAAGTTGAAAAAGTAAAAAAGCATAATAGGACCCCTTTAGGGCTAGATTTTCACTGGAGGAAACAGCTGTGGTGTGATGAGGGGTGAACGCAGGGAAAACTTTACAGTAGATGGGAAACCGATTGCTCCCTCGTGACCTTTTGTAAACTGTATTTATGACAAAGAACTGCACAGATACAGATATTCGATAAACACATACCTTGTGTCCTCTGTTTGTTTGAGTCCGCTCGCGCTGCAAGACCGCCGCGGTCTGCGGATTGAAGAGCACGCTGAAAGACGGGAAGGAGACGAGGTCTGCCGCCGTTTTCATATGAAATTTAAAGGGGACTGACTCTGAGGCGATCATGAATTTGTGTACAGTTTATGGTGCTAATTGCTATAGCCCTGCTAAAAATGGCCTAACGACGCCCATGCTTCTTACGTCCATTTTGGAGAACCAGGACAAATATTTCAATCGATCGCTCAGGCATTTAACTGGCACCGAAATGAGGCACCGAAATCTGCGTTCTGATTCGGTTCTAGTACATACCGGTTACCGGGTTTCGGTATCCAACCTTAATATAAACACACACCCCGTTACCATGCCACTCTTGGCTCTGGACATCTTTATCAGCTTCAGCAAGAAAGCTTTTGGCACAGAAAGCCCTGCAATTGACGTCTTATCAGACCAATCCCTCCATGTAAAAATAGAAACTGTACGTGTGAGAGAGAGATCTGCATCCATCTCTCCATGACATTCACGCAGCACAGAAAAATCTCTGTGTGTAATGAGCCGTCGCTGGTGTGACAGAACAAGGCACACACACTCTCACACGTGTTCAGATGTTAATGGTGATTTATTCTATAAGGGCAGGTACTCACAAAAGCATATATTGGTCTTGTAGGTGGAATGTGTATATGTGATGCTCAATCATTTGCAAAAACGTCTACACAGCATCTTTTCTATTTTTTGCTGCAAACAGCATGTTGTCGGCGTCCTATATATTTCCACTGTATATGCGTTTATTACTTTGAAATCCAATTTGGTCAAAAATGGGTTGATTTCTCATTCCAAGAATGTGTATGTTGATTATAAATAGAATTTTTTAACAACAGGATTTTTTTTACTTATTTAAAAATTATAAACTATTTAGACAATCTCTAGATTCACACAAAGCTTCCTTAACAGTTCACAAAGAACATTTATAAAAAACCAAGCTGCAAAAAAATGCTTAAAAATGGCCGTCATGGATATGACAACAAAACAGCATTTGCAGATTGTAAAAACAAAACTGTGATCACATCAGTTTAGTAGGTAAATTCTAATCCATCCCAGATAACAGTGAAGGATCGCAAATATTAAGGTGCATTGAGCCAGGTTTGACATCAATCAAGTCAAACTTCTTGGTTCTCATGTTTGACACATCTCAATATTTAAATACTATTAATCTATTCAGTAATTTGGCCTCTGATGGATGACAACTATACCAGTACTTTGAAGTCTGTACAAAGGTCTTAAGGTACATTAGCAAAAATGGCTTTTTAATTCTAAGGGTCATAGAGAGAGAGAGGAAAATGGTCCTGAAAATCTAAATTGTGGCTCTTCTGGCAGGAGAACCCTTTATTAACTGGGTAAGTGGACAAAAAAATTTAAGGATAAAGCATAAAATATGATCCCTTTACAGTAAAAAGCTCTGACATACATAAACCATTGAAGACAGTTTCAACTTCACTGAATACTAAAATATTCAGATCTCCTACAGGTGAGCAGAACCTGCCCATGGCTGCAGCTATGTGTGTGACAGATCTGTTGAAGAGGAGGATGGAGAGGCAGGTCTTCATCCTTCAGTCCATCAAACAGCTCTTGACAGCTCTTTCCGGACAAAGAGAGAGAAAGAGAGAGAGAGAGAGAAAGAGAGTGTGTGAGTGTGCGTTATACGTGAGTGTGTCTCTCTGATAAGGGCCAGTGGGCTGCTTTGTCCTCTAGAGATAAAAGACCTGAAATGAAATCTGAAGACTGAAAGGACGCTGGCCCGCCCCAAGAGCTTAGAGCGAGAGAGGGTGCTGAGTGAAAGGAAACCGACGACAGAAAGCGGCATCCTATTTTTCTTTAGGCTTATTTTACAAAAGCACAAAGATTAGTTTTTATTGTGAAAGTACACAAAGGCAAACCCTTTTACAATTCCGATTATCTTTAGGACTAAAAGGAATAGTTGCTTCAACTTTTAGAAGGAAAAAACGCCGGCGCCGCATGCGCGCACACAGTTAAGCTTTGCAACCTTGACAATGCAGCCTGTTCATTATCATAATAAAATACAGTCAGTCAAGCATATTGAAAAAAAACCTATGTAGTAAAAAAAACTATTTAGTAAAATCTGTGCCATTAAGTGTCATCACCGCACCGCCGTGATGTTATGCAAAACATTTTGTTTTACATGGATATTGGAACGCAAGTAAAGTCTAGCTACATAATAAATCATAATTTGCCATTCAAATACATCGTGAATACGAAAACATTTGATTTTGTGTGTAATGAGACCCAACGTTGGTTTCAGTTTCATTTTAGCATAAATTAATTTGTGTTGGCTTGTCGTTTATATTGCTATAGCTTCTTATATTTTTAATTCTTGTTCTTTTCTAAATACTGTTAATTAAAAGGATTTGTTGTGGAGTGAGGGGAACTAAAACAGCCTAGCTATGTTTACAGTGTTTATTATAATGTTTGTAAACATTTCACGTCGGCATTAGGCCTATTTCTGAATTAAAAAATAAAATGCAACTTATACGCAACTTATGTTTTCCCCCCTAAAAAACTGTTTTTTTTTTTTATATTTTGATACAATTACTGAAAAAATAAATAATTAAATGACTTTTTAAACCATTTAACTGATTGTATTAATCGGTCAAAATTCTTATGGTCGGTTAACCAGTTAACCCTCTGGGGTCTGAGGGTGTTTTGGGCCCTGGAGAAGTTTTGACATGTCCTGACATTTGTGCTTTTTTCAGTTGCTAATAAACATTTTAATGACTAAGTTTAGTAGCACCATAATCAGCACAAACTGGGCTACAATAATATGTGAGCAGCATGTATGTATGTGATTGTGTTTTTGAGAAAACAACGTTTATGCGTGCTTAGTGAAAAACTAAAATTTTAAAGTCACTGAAATGATCAGGAGAAGATGCCTCAAAACGCGTATCCGCATTAATCGACCTCAGAGGGTTAAAATGAACATCCCTAATAGATACTGAACAGAGAATGATAGTGTCTTTGAGAGAATGATATACAGTGGGGCAAAAAAGTATTTAGTCAGCCAACAATTGTGCAAGTTCTCCCACTTAAAAAGATGAGAGAGGCCTGTAATTTTCATCATAGGTATACCTCAACTATGAGAGACAAAATGAGAAAAAAAAATCCAGAAAATCACATTGTAGGATTTTTAAAGAATTAATTGGTAAATTCCTCGGTAAAATAAGTATTTGGTCACCTACAAACAAGCAAGATTTCTGGCTCTCACAGACCTGTAACTTCTTCTTTAAGAGGCTCCTCTGTCCTCCACTCGTTACCTGTATTAATGGCATCTGTTTGAACTCGTTATCAGTATAAAAGACACCAGTCCACAACCTCAAACAGTCACACTCCAAACCCCACCATGGCCAAGACCAAAGAGCTATCAAAGGACACCAGAAACAAAATTTTGGTGGCTGACTAAATACTTTTTTTCCCCACTGTACAAAAAGATAGAATGATAGAACGTGATAAACAGACGATCAATAGATAGAATGACTGATAAACCGAACAATAACATAATAAAACGGAAATAACTGAATGATGAAATAGAGAGAACATAAAGATATTCTGTACAGAAAATGACAGACTAATATACACTGTGTTCCAAATTATTATGCAAGTGACATATCAATATGATTTCGGTACAATAAAGAGTCAGATTTTTGTTTGTGTTGTTTTTCACATCTTTTTAGATAACTGGTATCAATCTCAAACAGGTTTGTTCAATAGTTTGCCAGGTCTTCTTAGGTAAATGGAAACCCTACTTAAAGATGTTATTCCACATTATTAAGCAAGTCACAGTTCTCATGTAATATGGTGAGGAAGAAAGATCTTTCTGAAGATGAAAAGTATGAAACAATGCAATGTCTTGCAAAAGGCATCAAAACAAATAATATTTTGCGAAAAGCAAATAGAGATTATTGAACTGTCAAAAGATTTGTGAGTGACAGAGCACAGAAGATCTTGGTCAGATAAAAATGTATTAAGGAAAGTTTCTGTCAAACAAATGAATTGTATTGTAATGCCAGCTGTAAAATCAGGTGTTTGAAGTTACTGGAGTCTCAAGATCCTCTCCATACACACTAGCAGTTGTGTGTAAAGCTGCATTTCAGTCACTGCTAACCAAACCTCACAAAGAGAAACCTGCACAGTGGCTGTAGAAAAACATTTTCAAACGGTTTAGCACCATGGTATTACATTATATACATTATATATCAGGTATTATAT